CATATGCGTGCTTTTGATAAATTCTCACCGGGCCTGTACATTTATATGGGAAGGAGATAAAAACTGGAACGTGTGAACGATAAGAGCAGTCGAGTACGGTTCGTCTTTTCATACAGACAGGGTATGTTAATAGAGGGGGGAGGGGGAGAGGAGGCAGTGACAGTGAATGTTAAGTAGAGCCGTGTCACAAGGGGAGAGGAGGGGATGGGGACGCGGAGACATGCAGACAGTCAATCGAGTCTTGCCCACGGCAGACGCGGAGCCTACAAGAGGTTCCCCTGCGCGCACAGGACCGGCCTCTGTAGCCCGGTGGCAGTCGCTTCTGCTGTTGCTAGTATGCGCTGACCCAGTCGCTTAAGTTAATTAGGTGGGACCTTGTAAATCACACGAAGGGCTTCGTTGGGATCCAAATAATGCCCAAAATCAACCATGTGTTCGAGGATGGAGCGGTGTATGCTCTCACCAGGCGTAGTTATAAAGAATATATCGGATTATATGGCGAAAATACAAGCCATATTGTCAGGCCAGAAGAAATTTAATAAAGCCGATAAAGAAAAAGTTTCCACAAACGAAGTAGAAGCACAACTAACGGACTGCTTAAGTAAACGCCACGCAGAAGGCTTCATAAGTGATCGCGAACTCGAAAACCTCCTCGAAATAGGCACACACATCCTTCGATTATATGGTCTACCGAAGATCCAGAAGAACAATCGGAGGATGTGGCACAGCTCTACCTAACGTTCACTATCACTGCCTCCTGTTCCACCCCCCTCTATTAACATACCACTTTTGCATGAAAAGACGAACCGTAATCAGTTGCTCTTATTGCTTACACGTTCCAGTTCTTACCACCTTTCCATATAACTCTACAGGCCCGATGAGAATTTATCGAAAATATGCGTATGCTCGTTTGATGACCTTCTGAATTCCTCCATGGAAATCTAGAATATTTTGACGGTGTACTTAGCGCTGTCATATAGCCGGCATTTCCTAGGGATACAATTGTTTATTTTTTTGTCTCACCATTCCCAGGTCCGCAGTCATTTGTTTTGCCGTGGTTTTGATCGACCCCATACAGAATGCCGATTTAATGAGCATTTACTGACATCGTCCACGTGTTTGCCAAAATTTTGATCAATGATATTTTTTGCAGACATGGAAAGTACGAATGATCTACCCTCGAAGCTCTGTTGGAAAACAAGAATTCGACTATGTAGTCTTTCAATAACCCACATGGTTGCAAATGTCAGGACTCCATCGTTTCACGCAAACTTTAGCGATTCTCAGAACGTAAATGGTGAACTTCACAGCCCTGAACCACGTCTCGGGGAATAAATCGACTGTTTCTTTGGAAAAAACCTCTCCCAGGCGAACGTCGGATCATCCGCTGTAATGTTTCCCCCTCACTTTCCAAAGTAACTCTACCGTGTTATCAAGCCGCTTCGCTTCTCGGACCACCCGGTTCCGCCACGATGCGGGAAATCAATACAAGGCGCGAGAAATTATTTACTTAGAACATTTTAGTAGCTATATATGAAGAGCAAAACAAACCGATGTATATGCAAGAATCCAAACATAAGCACATATCTGAGAAACTATGAAAGAACTTGAGTTTTGTCTACTTAGGTTAGGATGTACACCCGGTCAACGTTGATAGGGACTTGAGAAAGCGGCGGTGAGTCAAATCCAATTCGGCGACAGTTTAATGACAAGAAAGAGAACCTTAACCTGGCAACGTTTTCGGAACCGTGTAAAACACTAACAGGGAGTTCGGCCCGTTATAGGAGCTCATGCAGTACGGATGAATGTTTATTTGGAGATCAGACAGGAAGATGAAGCTGGTAACGCTTCTGGGTATGAACATTTGCTAAGAATGACTTGTACTTTTTAGAAAATATCTACCAATCTAGCTTTTAGTACGGAAGCATTATGACTGACCATAAGAGCATCGGGTTCTCAAAGCCTCGATATATTGCCACTATATCGTCCCCCGGAAAATAACACTGATGCTGATGCTCGATTACCGGATGAGCTCGAATTATTTTCTCCGAGGCCAAACCCTCGCATTGGTGATGACTTTAACGCACCTCACATCGACCGGGGTTCGACATCTGCCAACTACTCTGAAGCAGCATTTGACCAGCAGCTTCTACGTACCACTGGTAATCGGCTTCTCACGTAACACGTAATGTTACTGACAAGAGTTCGCGTGGGCCAGAAAATGAAGTGCCTCAGCCTTGTGTTTACTAAGTCGTTTGGTGACATCGACGTTGTGAATTGCTACCCCCCCCCGCATTTGGTCAGAGTGATCATGTAGTTCTCATGTGGGAATATACCTCATACTCCCTATCTGCTCAACCGCTCAATTCCCGACCAAATATTTGACGCGGCGCACCCACAATAATAAATGCCAACATCGGGTGTGTTGTGGCACACTGAGTTATCGGTTAACTCTTTGTCGTTCCCTTATTTTTGCTGTTTCATAAAACCTTGGCCTGTATACATTGTGGACAAGGAGTGTGATAATACGTCCAGGTGCGGGCTTGCGCCGTACCGGCCACCTGCGTCCTCTCCTACACCCGGTATTCTTGACTCCGTCTTAACACGGAGCCCAAATGGTAGAGAAGAGAGTGCGGTAGATGTTGCGCAAGTCTACTATCGCCATAAACTAACTCACACGCAAGCTATCGTGCCTGTTCTTGCCCTACTGTGGAGTACACGGTGAACGTCGTCGATAAAGATGGTTGAACTGTCGACGGTGCGCTGGTGATGCGCAGTCAGCATAATTAGATACAAAAGTGGACGTTAGAATATCTGTTTTTATCCTTCCTCTGGGGGGGGGGGGATAATTAGTTGAAATATCGGCTTTAGCAGTTTTGGGCATATTGTATGAACAAAAGTCCATCCGCTGTCCATTTTAAGTAAGTAGCTTAGTCCCCTGTCTTATTGCTCTCGACGTCCTGAGATTTGTAGAGAAGTCGCGACATTTTTTGTTAATAAATGAAAGTACGACATGTATTT